AGTTTCAGAGAAACTGCTATGTTTACACTGAGAGTTAATCCAGCCTCTAGTGGCTGTCTCACTGACAGGCACTAGAGGCAGCTTCCGCGATTGTTTGACTGCGCGTGCGGCTCTTGCTGTGCATACGCATTCGGGGCTGACGTCGGCAGGAGGAGGAGAGGTCAGTGCTGGAGAAAGGTAAGTGGCTGAAGGGGGAGGGGGGTCATGAGGGCTTGGGGGAGGACCTAAGGACTACATAGTGCAGGGAAAACTAGTTTGTTTTCCTGGCACTATAGTGGTCCTTTAATGTCCAGTACTGGTAATTTTAATTTAAATGTAACAAGAAAGTATTGTGTCGGAAATAAAAACAATAAAACTTAATATAAACATAAAGTAAAAAATTAAGCAACAGGTATTTCTTAGTATATATATATATATATATATATATATATATATATATATATATGAACTATGCCTCTTGCATAAATACTGAAATTTCAGTGGAATTCAGCTTGTGGAAAAGCGTGTCCTCTTTTTTCATTTTGGAAATAGTGCCGATTTCAATATAAATTGACACGGTTACAAAATGTACTGGTTACACCCCATGGCTTTTTTTTTTAAGCAGACAATAGGTCCTATTGCTTATTTTCACTGAATTCTAGAGGCAGCAGTTGCCCAAATCACATGCCTTGCAATGTTTGTCATTGAGCTGCATTGGGAAGTCTGTGCTTGAACAGTCACATAAAGTCTTGTCGGGTTTAGAAAAGAGGGGCTTGCATAGGCAGCAGGCAAGAGAACTACAGGTTTTATAAGCTGTGTTTGGATATAACTCCAATATAAAAATGCAAGATATATCTACTAAACTGGTGTTTCCCAAAGTGTGGGTCGCGACCCACTTGTGGGTCGATGGCTGATTTCTGGTGGTTCATGCTGACCCATGCATCCAGGGCCGCCGGGGACTCAGGAGACAGTCAAGCAGACTGACTAGTCAAGCCCTTGGTCTGTGACCGTGGACCCGACATCAGGAGGGGGACATACAGGGCAAGTCGCCGCTCCCTCTCCAATCAGTCTGCCCAAGAAAAAGCCCAGCACCTCTGGTCTGCAGCTTCGCCGAGTGCAGAGCTACAGACCATGTGATAGAGGTCTCATGAGCTCCCACATCATTACCATGGCAACACTCTGGGTGTTCGCAAGACCTCTATTACATGGTCTGCAGCTCTGCACCAAGGGCAGAGTTGCAGACCATAGAGTGGACCCACCAGGGAATTTATAAAATTAAAAATAAAGGTCGGTCACAGCCTGCCCACACCCTGTTCCCCCACGGTAACCCTTTCTCACCCTGCACCCCCCATTGTAACCCTTTTTCACCCTGCCCACCTCAACAGTGAAACAGTAGAGTGGACCCACCAGGGAATTTATTAAATTAAAAATAGAGGTCGGTCACAGCCTACCCACACCCTGTTCCCCCACTGTAACCCTTTCTCAACCTGCCCCCCACTGTAGCCCTTTCTCAACCTGCCCCCACACTGTAAGTGTTTCTTACACTGCCCCACCACACTGTAAGCATTTCTTACACTGCCCCCCCACACTGTCACCCTTTCCCACACTGTCCCCAGCAGATACACACTCCCTCTCATACAGTCACACTCACCTCTCCACCCAACCCATTCATTCTCACCTCCCACCCCCACACGGTCACCCTCACCTCCCACCCACCCCCCCCACACGGTCACCCTCACCCCACAGTCCCCATCACCTCCTGTGTCTGTGTATATGTGCATCTGTATGTCCTTTTTTGTCAGTGTGTATCTTATCTGTGTCAGTAACTATGTGTCATTGTGTGTGTGTGTGTGTGTGTGTGTGTGTATCGCTGTGTCAGTGTGTGTTTTTGTGTGTCTATATTTGCATGTGCGTCAGTGTGTGCATGCATGTGTTTCAATATGTGTGGAAGTGTATACACTGCACACAAATGCACATCTGCATTCAAACACCAACATTCACACGCATACTCCATACAAAGACATACTTACATTCAAACACACATTGTGTAGATGTATATATTTTATATACACAATATGCACACACAGCATCAACTACACATGCACTGTAATCAAATGCAAACATTACATAAAATACACCCATACACATACAAAAACATGCTTACCTTGAAATGCTCAAACACTGCTTACAAACACAACCCTGAAAGGATGGGCGAATATTGGATTACCAGTTGGCATAGCTTTGTTCGAGTTCTCCAGCAGATGGGGATCTACATTTTTGACACACTTTCACTAAAGGGGGGCTCAGAAAACGTACTTGCACTATGGCCCTCTTTACCTTTCCTAGTACCTAGTCTCTCCCCCCCAGCCCCATCACCCTAATAAAAATAAATAACCCTACCTGCCCTCTCACCCTAATAATGGTGTATAGTGAATACCATTCAAAGTTTTCTAATTCTCGGCCTAAAAAAAGGTTAAATAAGAATCAATAATTCCTGGTGTAATTGCAGCAACCAAAAGAAAAAAAAAAAATGCTGAAAAAAATGAAAAACATGCCTTAACAAAAATTTATCCATCTTCTCCCATGGAGGAATTGCCGCAGAAATGCCTCTTACATAGGTTTTTTTATCCTATGTTAGCTATTGCAAAGCATGGGAAAAATCTCATTTAAAGGTACACTCCAGGCACCCAGACCACTTCTGCCCATCTCCCACTACTCTTAACCCTGCAAGTGTAATTATTGCAGTTTTTTTTATAAACTGCAATAATTACCTTGCAGGGTTAACTCCTAGACAGCCACTAGAGGGCACTTCCTGCATCATAGCACAGAAAACCTGTGCTAGAGCGTCGCTGGACGTCCTCACGCTGTGCGAGGACCTCCAGCATCGCTCAATTCCCCATAGGAACGCATTGAAAAGCATTTTCAATGCTTTCCTATGGGGAGCTTTAATGCGCATGCGCATTAGGTCTCCCCGGCCGGTGGGCGGGATCAGTCTTGCCCACCGGCCGACGTAATACAGAGGAGGAGCAGCGACGTGGGACTTGTCGCTGCCTCTTGTAAGTTACTGAGGGGTTTTCATCCCGTCAGCAACCGGGGATTGGGGGGTGGGAGGGAGAGGAGACCTGCAGTGTCAGGAAAACGGATTGTTTTCCTGGCACTGGAGTTTCCCTTTAATACAGGTCCATTTGGTGTTTAGGACTACTGTAAGATATTCACGTTTTGTTCGAGTCATTCCAAAGTTGCTGTTGCCTTGTGCTTGGAATCATCTTATTTTCCCAAGCATCTGTTTTTAGCAGACAGAAAAAAAGTCCACCTGCAGTATTAACCTATATTTACATCCGTCCATACTGCCTCCATTTCTCACATGTATTCACTGTCTGACACCAGACTGTATTTCTGTTTCTTTTTGTTATAGTGTTTCAAACTTATATGACCTTTAAGTCGCAAAATCCAATGTGCCATTCATTCAACTGCACCAGCAAAGACCATTGATGCAGGGATGGTGCAAACCAATGAAGGTTTTCCCATCACCCAAATAAATCATCTCCATAGACAGATCACTGGCCTTTCATGGTTCACTTTGTGGTATATAAGAGTGCCTATTGATCTTTGCTATTTTGACCCAGCTAGTTCTCATTTATCATACGTTCCTGTCTTGTTTACAGTTATTGTGCTGCTCTGTATCCCTTCTGAGTGACCCTTATTTCTGGCTTACTCTTTGGCTCCAAGGCTGTTCTGACATTAAGCTCACACACATCTAAGGACAGGTGAAATGCTCTGCTATTACTATTTTGTTCTTTTGGTTAGCACACCTAAGTTCTGTGTGTTAATGCCAGTTCTGTAGTAGAGGCTAACAGATATAGTTTGATAAGCTCTGTAGAATACGATTTCCAGTTTCTTTCAGATATGCAGCCTGATCAATGATCCTTATCAAGAATTAGATTTTATCCAGAGAAAACCATTCACTACTTTAATGCCCAGGGCAGAGATGTGTTAGTTCCCAACAGGTAAAGGCTACGTTTTAGATATCTATATTTCTGATTAAATACTTATCTTAAATGTTCCATTGTGTAAACACAATCCTAAAATATGCAGTTAAAAAAATATCTAAACCATTTGCTGTGAAAGGTCTTTTTATCCCCTTAAAATCGTTTTAACATAAAGCCATTGTCACCATAAATTATATTGGAATGTAAAGGTTTCCTGACTGAAGATAGCATGACTTAGTTGTATGTCAAATATATAAATACACTGCTCAAAAAAATAAAGGGAACACTTAAACAACACAATGTAACTCCAAGTCAATCACACTTCTGTGAAATCAAACTGTCCACTTAGGAAGCAACACTGAGTGACAATCAATTTCACATGCTGTTGTGCAAATGGGATAGACAACAGGTGGAAATTATAAGCAATTAGCAAGACACCCCCAATAAAGTTCCTTTGCTTCCTGGCTGATGTTTTTGTCACTTTTGAATGTTGGCGGTGCTTTCACTCTAGTTGGAGCATTAGACGGAGTCTACAACCCACACAAGTGGCTCAGGTAGTGCAGCTCATCCAGGCACATCAATGCGAGCTGTGGCAAGAAGGTTTGCTGTGTCTGTTAGCATAGTGTCCAGAGCATGGAGGGGGTACCAGGAGACAGGCCAGTACATCAGGAGACGTGGAGGAGGCTGTAGGAGGGCAACAGCCCAGCAGCAGGACAGCTACCTCTGCCTTTGTGCAAGGAGGAACAGGAGGAGCACTGCCAGAGCCCTGCAAAATTACCTCCAGCAGGCCACAAATGTGCATGTGTCTGCTCAATCTGTCAGAAACAGACTCCATGGGGGTGGTATGAGGGCCCGACGTCCACAGGTGTGGGTTGTGCTTACAGCCCAACACCGTGCAGGATGTTTGGCATTTGCCAGAGAACACCAAGATTGGCAAATTCGCCACTGGCGCCCTGTGCTCTTAACAGATGAAAGCAGGTTCACACTGAGCACGTGTGACAGACGTGACAGAGTCTGGAGACGCCATGGAGAACGTTCTGCTGCCTGCAACATCCTCCAGCATGACCGGTTTGGCAGTGGGTCAGTAATGGTGTGGGGTGACATTTCTTTGGGGGGCCGCACAGCCCTCCATGTGCTCGCCATAGGTAGCCTGACTGCCATTAGGTACCGAGATGAGATCCTCAGACCCCTTGTGAGACCATATGCTGGTGCGGTTGGCCCTGGGTTCCTCCTAATGCAAGACAATGCTAGACCTCATGTGGCTGGAGTGTGTCAGCAGTTCCTGCAAGACGAAGGCATTGATGCTATGGACTGGCCCGCCCGTTCCCTAGACCTGAATCCAATTAAGCACATCTGGGACATCATGTCTCGCTGAATCCACCCAGGGGCGGACTGACCGGTCGGGCACTTCGGACATGGTTCGAGGGCCCGGCCGGGAGGGGGGCCCGCCGCCAGGGCCGCCTTCAGGGGGCCCGGTGGCAGGGCTGGATTGGGGGCGGCATCTGGGGACTTCAGAGGAAGGTTAAATGGTTTGACTACTTACTCTGGAGCAGTAGTGGTTATTGTGCATGGATAATTTTTTTTAAATAATCTACAAGTGCCCCAGTAGCCAGCCAGTCAGGATCTTATCTGGGTTGGGAGTCTGTAGCGCAGATATGTTGCTCACCCTTGCAGATAGCCACAGGCCAAGGTGGTCAGGTAAGAATTCACCCGGCCTGTGGGTCTGTGCACGGGGGCTGTGCAGGATGAAGTACCAAGTCGCAGGACAGGCAAGGACTCAAACAGGAGGATCGTCAAAGGATAGCCGAGGTCAAAGGATGCCAGAAGACAGGAACAACGAGGAGTAGCCGAAGTCAAGGGATGCCAGAGGTCAGAGTAAACGAGTCAGAAGCCGGGGTCAATAACAAGTAGCAGCTCAAACAGGAACACTGGTACAAAGCACACAACAGGATCAAAGACTTGATCCTGATCACAGGGCGAGGCTGAGTTTAAATACCCTGCTAATGTCTGATCAGGGTCAGGTGAAGCACATCCAAAGTCAAGGTACAGCCCCCAGAGTAATAGACATGCCAGGATGAACAGGACCAGAATGACAACAAAATACAAAAGCTGCTGTGGCTCAGAGGAAGGAAGCAGGACCAGGACTGCGAAGTTCCCCGGTTCAAGTCCCTTGTTGGGAACTCCATGGGTGACCACGTCTGGCCGTCTGTTTGCTGCGGTGAGAACCGTGACACAGCCAGCCCACAGGCCTACAGCAAGCCACAGGCTTACAGTCAGCAAGCCCACAGCCTGCCAGCCGCAGCAAGCAAGCCCACAGACTGCCAGCCAGCAACAGTAATTAAGGTAACAGGAGCCAACTTAGCCTAGGTATCAGTGAGCTATGTTGTGTTGCTATATTGTGAATAGGAACCAGAGTGTTGGAGAGACCACCCTCCAGGCCCCATTAGACTCCACTGTAGTCTCTAATGGGGCTTGGAGGGGATTCTTTCTAACACACTCTCTAAAGGACACTGAGATAGCCTCCGCTAGAAAGGCCTCCATGGCCCATTAGCCCTCAATTGTAGTCTCTGCTGGGGCCTCGAAGGGCTTATTGCCCTTTTGTTCCTTGTGTCTAAAGATTGTGTAGGGTGTGGCTGGAGGCGGTGCATGGAGGCGGGACAAGGGTGGCGCTTGCTGCAGAGTATGGGTGGGGCCTGTAAGGGGGCCCTTGATTTATTTTGCCCGGGGGCCCTGAGGGTTCTCAGTCCGCCCCTGCATCCACCAACGTCACGTTGCACCACAGACTGTCCAGGAGTTGGCAGATGCTTTAGTCCAGGTCTGGGAGAATATCCCTCAGGAGACCATCCACCATCTCATTAGGAGTATGCACGGGCATTGTAGGGAGGTCATACAGGCACGTGGAGGCCACACACACTACTGAGCCTCATTTTGACTTGTTTTAAGGACATTACATCAAAGTTGGATCAGCCTGTAGTGTGTTTTTCCACTTTAATTTTAAGTGTGACTCCAAATCCAGACCTCCATGGGTTGAAAAATTTGATTTCCATTTTTTCATTTTTGTGTGATTTTGTTGTCAGCACATTCAACTATGTAAAGAACAAAGTATTTCAGAAGAATCTTTAATTCATTCAGATCTAGGATGTGTTATTTTTGTGGTTAAATGTTTTTGTGTTTATTTTTTGGAGCAGTGTATATACATACATATACATATATATACACACATGCATATATATATATCTATATATATATATATATATATATATATATAAGTATAGTGGCACTCACCCTTTCAATGAATCAGTAAAAAAATGCCTTGGTGCAATCCCACGCTGAATATGTAAAGCAAAAAGGAAAGAGATGCACTCTCATGTCTTTGTAGAAAAAAACTCGATATTATTTAATAACAGGTAACATACATTTGATCGACATTTCGACCTCTTCAGGTCTTCCTCAAGATCAATATACAAACATATACAACACAAATATATAGGCAACATAGGAGGAGTTACTCACCAAACAAACAGTGCACACCGGTTTCCATTAGTCCGAACCCGGAAGTGTAAGTGAAGTGTCATGTGACACGTGTCATGTGACGTATGGGCGTGGCCATTACCATGATGTGGTTACTAGGAAACAGGTAGACTAAACCTGAGCAAATATGTAGTGAACATGAAACAGCTCAGATTAGGCAGAGAATTATCTGTGCAATGGAGTGAAAGGGCATAAAGCCCTGTGAAATATATAGAACTATAATACCTACCAAATAGCATGATATAAACGCAATACAGTGATCACCACTAATAGTGAGGACTAAAAGGTCCATTTCTACGAAAAAAGACTATATTAGTATTGGTCCAGTATCAAACATTCACCAATTAAAGTGACCATATGTATGTGAATCAGAAGTAGTGTAAACATGCACCCGGTAAAAACAATACAAAAAAACAAATGTATAATGCATAACACATACAATTAAAACAAGCATAACATGGACACAAAATATACAGAGTATTAAAATGAAAATACTATGTGAGGACTTTAATTAGAGAGTCCTACAAAATAGATGAAGATTAGGACAAAAGCTTATAGCATCCGAGGTTACTAGTTGGTCTCCCATTCAAGTACTAGCCAGGCCTGAGTCTGAATAGCTTCTGAGATCTGGCGAGATCAAGCATTTTCAGACTACGATGGCCATAGGTTCTAGGCAAGAGAGTATGGACACTGGGTATTCAATAATAATCTATAGGTAGTGGACTAAAACCACATTCAAGACAGAACAGAAGAAAAAAAGGAACAAGGAAAAAAGGACTAATCCATATACTCTGTATATCATGTAAATACACGGAAATAAATACTTCAAATAAAAACTGTAGAGTCTATAATAGAAAGAAAAGGGGTGTAGAGATACCAGTTAGGCTAAATAATCACAAAAAAGTGATTGGAATACAGCCATATCTATTGCAATATCAGTCACTGACCATGTGAGGGAAAAATGTACAAAAATTACATACAAAAAATTGTGTCGAAGGACCTAATTGATCACTATAACCAAGTCCCTAGAGGTAAATGGAGTCTAAAGAAATATCACCAAAAACAAAGAAAACGTAGGCAAGACATATTGTACACAATATACAAATACCCTATGGTGCAAAGATGTAAAGGAAAAGAGGCTCAGGACGATGATCCTAGACTACCGGGATAAGAGAGATGTATAGTATCAGAGAAAAACTGAATAAACAATATTCTCATTTAATCCTCTGGGTGTTACTGTGTCCAGTTGGTATGTCCATTTTGCTTCCTGTTGAAGTAACATTCTTGATCTATCACCACCCCTCGGAGGAGGTGGGATATGATCAATCGCTATAAAGCGTAATGATGGTAGTCTGTGTGTTAAAGCCAAAAAATGTTTGGCTACTGGTTTGTCGCTGTAGTTATCCCGATAGGCAGTGGTGATAGTTGACCGATGTCCACGTATCCTATCTCTCAGGGTGAGGTTAGTTTTGCCCACATACGATAGTCCGCACGGACAGGTAATAAGGTATATTACGTGGTCTGTGGTACATGTTATATGATGTCGGATGTTAATTCTTTTGCCACTGTGAGGATGTGCGAATGACTTGCCACTAACCATGTGGCTGCACGTCACACACCCACTACACTTGTAGCATCCTTTCTTGGTGATATTTGATATAGGCTGGTAGCAATGAAGTGGATCATTCCTGACCAAAATATCTTTAAGACTTCTGTTCCTCTTCTAACTGAAAATCGGTCGTTCTCAAAATATTTTTGGAAGTTGTTTATCTGATTGTAGTAGTCCCCAGTTCTTGTTAACAGAATGTTTCACCGTAGAGATGCCCGTATGGAATGTGAGCGGGAGAAACATCCTAGATGTTGGTGTTGCATTAGTTTTGGTTACTTCATTAGTTTCAGATTCCCATATTTCAATGGCACGAGTTTGGGCTTTCTGGAGAGTCTGGACCTGATATCCCCTTGCCCTGAATCTATTCCACATTTGTTGAAACTGAATGTCACGATTTTCAGAAGTAGTGTTGTATCTGAGAACTCTGAGGAATTGAGATATGGGTAGTGAAGCCTTAAATTGTCTGGGATGGAAGCTGGATGCCATCAGTAGTGTATTGTGGTCCGTCTCTTTACGGTATAGCATGAACTCCAATTTTCCACGATATTTGTAGATAGTGACATCCAAAAATTGGATGGACTGTGTGTCGTATTGCATACTCAGTTTCACAGAGGTAGGAGCAAGGTTGATCTCAGTAAGCATGTTCTTCAATGACTCCATAGTACCTGTCCATACTAAAAATATGTCGTCCACAAAGCGATGGTAGTGTTGTATGGAGTCTCCAAATTTCTGTAAGATGTATTTATTTTCAAATGTGTACATAAAAGCATTGGCGTAAGAGGGCGCCATCGCCGCTCCCATCGCTGTCCCCGAGAGTTGTAGAAAAAATTGTTTTTCAAATTTAAAATAATTGCAGGTCAAGGCAATATGTAGGAATTCCAGTAAGAATTCAACGGGAGGTCCTGTGTATACTGTGGATTCACTCAAAACCGTTCTGAGAGCCTGTAGCCCCTCTTGGTGGGGTATGATGGTATACAGGCTCTGTACGTCTAAAGTGACAAGTATTGACGATTCGTCAATCGTAGGTGTTAACTTTATTTTATGAATGAAGTCCCATGTGTCCCGTAGACAAGTGGGGAGTGCCACTACACTTTTTTTAATCAAAAAATCAACATATTTAGCCACTGGTTCCAGTAAACTGTCATTGGCCGACACAATGGGTCTTCCTGGTGGGGTGATAGGGTCCTTGTGGATCTTGGGCAGAGTATATAGTACCGGGTGTCTCGGGTATTCAACAAACAAAAATTGAGCTGTTTTCTCATCCAAGAAGCCACTAAGAATACCCAAGTCAATCTGGTTCTTGATTCTGGTTTGAAATTTTTTCACGGGGTCAAACTTGAGTCTCATATATGTAGTATGGTCATTGAGTTGTCGTAATATTTCATTCCGATAGTCTTGATAGGATTGAATCACAGTGGCACCGCCCTTATCGGCAGAGTGTATGACGATGTTGATGTCGTGACTGAGGTCATGTAAGGCTTTAATCTCACCCGGAGTTAGATTTGAATGGTATGTAGGGGGATTTTTCACCATCTGTTCTGTATCTGCCTTTACAGTCTGGATAAAGGTCCTGATGGAGGCGTTATTAGTACGTACATCCTTCTTTTGTTTCTTGTAAAATGGTGATATCAATTTAGGTGTAGGTTCTTTCATAATTTCATTTAGATAAAGTGTCCTTTGAGTTTTATACATCTCAATCTCTTGTTGAAACGGGTCGACTTTAGACACAGGTACAAACGAAAGCCCTTTGTCCAACAAAGAGTAGTGATCCGTAGTTAGCACTTTATCAGACCCTGAATCTGGAAGAGATAACAAGAACCCACCACATGATACTTTTTTAGGGGTGGGCACCCCATTGAGAGAACCACCGGTTACATCCAGAATCAATACCAGAGGCACAAACAGAACCGCCCAATACGAAGAGGGCAGAGCAATTGGAAGAAATTCAAATCCCATTGGGAAACCTCCCAAACCAAGGAAATGACCACTATTTTCAATTTATCAGATAAATTTATCAGAGCCTAACTGGTATCTCTACACCCCTTTTCTTTCTATTATAGACTCTACAGTTTTTATTTGAAGTATTTATTTCCGTGTATTTACATGATATACAGAGTATATGGATTAGTCCTTTTTTCCTTGTTCCTTTTTTTTTTTTTCTGTTCTGTCTTGAATGTGGTTTTAGTCCACTACCTATAGATCATCATTGAATACCCAGTGTCCATACTCTCTTGCCTAGAACCTATGGCCATCGTAGTCTGAAAATGCTTGATCTCAGAAGCTATTCAGACTCAGGCCTGGCTAGTACTTGAATAGGAGACCAACTAGTAACCTCGGATGCTATAAGCTTTTGTCCTAATCTTCATCTATTTTGTAGGACTCTCTAATTAAAGTCCTCACATAGTATTTTCATTTTAATACTCTGTATATTTTGTGTCCATGTTATGCTTGTTTTAATTGTATGTGTTATGCATTATACATTTGTTTTTTTGTATTATTTTTACCGGGTGCATGTTTACACTACTTCAGATTCACATACATATGGTCACTTTAATTGGTGTATGTTTGATACTGGACCAATACTAATATAGTCTTTTTTCGTAGAAATGGACCTTTTAGTCCTCACTATTAGTGGTGATCACTGTATTGCGTTTATATCATGCTATTTGGTAGGTATTATAGTTCTATATATTTCACAGGGCTTTATGCCCTTTCACTCCATTGCACAGATAATTCTCTGCCTAATCCGAGCTGTTTCATGTTCACTACATATTTGCTCAGGTTTAGTTTACCTGTTTCCTAGTAACCACATCATGGTAATGGCCACGCCCATACGTCACATGACATGTGTCACATGACGCTTCACTTACACTTCCGGGTTCGGACTAATGGAAACCGGTGTGCACTGTTTGTTTGGTGAGTAACTCCTCCTATGTTGCCTATATATTTGTGTTGTATATGTTTGTATATTGATCTTGAGGAAGACCTGAAGAGGTCGAAAAGTCGATCAAATGTATGTTACCTGTTATTAAATAATATCGAGTTTTTTTCTACAAAGACCTGAGAGTGCATCTCTTTCCTTTTTGCTTTATATATATATATATACACACACAATACACAAGATCCAGCGCACTCGTCTCTCCACTAAATGGCAACTTCAATGTTGACAGATTTAATTAGTTTTTTTTTGTATGTTTTTTAAACACCTAATCTAGGCAAAAATAATGGGGGTTTAGTTACATTATATGATCATACATTGCATAAGCCTGCCACAACGTCAATGTACCCCATCTTTGGCAGGTCCTACACTAACAGCCTAATGTCTGCTCTTATGAGATTAACCCACTTACTTGGGGGAAAAAATCCATCTGGGGCTCTCTGCAGATCAAGGCTAAATAGGGCCCTGGGATGAGGCACCTGTGACAGGGAGGGGTGCAAAACCAAGGAGTTGGCTAGACTCCCAAATATTTATATATATATATATATATATATATATATATATATATATGAAACCGGGGGCTGCACTCACCTAAACATGCATAAATGGGGTGCTGCTGGGGGCCAATTTATACAATACACAACATCCATTACACTCACCTATCCACAGCAACTTCAATGTTGACAGATTTAATTAGTTTTTTTTTTTTTTAAATACCTAATCTAGGCAAAAATAATGGGGGTTTAGTTACTGTTACGGTTGCCTCCAGGTTGGACCGTAGAAAGGATGCTCCTAGCGCTCACCAAAGGACCATCAGCACCATACACACCATAAGTACTGCAATGACACCATAAGCACTGCATACGCCACGAACTACCACTGCTTGACTGGTATCTCGCCGTCTGCTATGCACCCTGGACCTACGACCAGTCTCCAGGTTCCAGTAGGTGAACCTCTTCCTTCTGTAGAGCGAAGCAGGATCAGGAACAAGAGCTCTTACAAGAGCTCAGTAGCTAAGGGAGTATGAAGAGCATAGCAATCTCTGTAGTGATTATAGCTGTCCCCTACAAACATGAGTCAAGGCTGCAAGTTAGAGGGTCAAGTCATTATGTACTATTGGCACCAAAGGGCCTTCTTTCATGGGGATCTTACACATAGAGGACCGCCCACAAGGTTTTGCAGAACAACCAATAAACACGTAACATACAGTAAAAACACACCCATCAATAACACACAAATCCTCCCATCTGCCTGTGATATAATTACTGAACACAATGGGTTAAAGTTATTATCACAGGCAGGAAAAATAAACTTTTTATACATACACTGTAACTTTAAAAATATACGTCCAATCTTCATAAAAATTACATATTCAGAATCAGCATACTTTAAATATAAACATAACCAAACATCATACAAATCCCTCCAATAGATAAAAAGTTAGATGGAAGTCCTTTATGACCAACCGCAAGCACATTTTCCTGCCCAAAACAGTTCCATTGATTTGGGCTGTGCGGCTGGTCAATTTTATGCAGAAAAATGAATTCCCGAATGGTACCTAGTCTCTGCAGCTGAAAATTCAGTGTAGGAGAAGGTAAGGGTCAGCGGTGTTCGTTGAAATGCCAATTTCAGTTCCATGGCTACACATACTGCTGACCTCGTTTGAAGGAACAAAGATGGCCGCCGCCACATGTTCATTTGCACGAACTGCGGCCATCTAGCGGTCGGCAATTTACCTACAGCAGGCTTCCAGCCTGGGAGGTAAATTGCCTGCACACTTCCACTTCTGGGTGGTCTGCCTGTGTGGTACTTGGTTCAGTAAGCCCCATTTACTGAACCAAGTGTAAAGAAGCCATGAATAAAGTATTTTAACCAAGTCTGGGGACACTGGGGACACAAGCTTAAAGGGGCAGTGTCCCAAACAAGTCTGGGGACACCGTCTTAAAGGGGAATTGTCCCAATTTTCCCTATGTCCCAAAAATGTGCTTAAAAGGGCCAGCACCAGTCCAATAAAAGTCCATAAGCCCCAATATGCTCACAGACTGTTCTTAAAGGGTCATACACACCAGGGCCATAGTCATGAGGAAGGAGGCTGGCAATAAGGCTTCTCCATAATACAGGGAAGCAGGGCAATTTGTCACTTAAAGAGACAGTTACAAAAGGCATTTTGCAACAGTAGTTGATCCAGGTCCTACATGTGGCAGACCCTGGAGGAAGAAGCGGTTTTGGAAAGGAAGAAAGAAGTTCTCTGGTGACAACTTGGCTGGAAATTCTAGAGTAGGACCAAAATCCCGTGGGACTTAGAGATTGTATCTCTTGTAATTGAAGGCATCCATGCATCTGCCCTCCTAGACACTGGGTCTCAAGTAACGATAGTCTTCCTTTCTTTTTATGAGGAGCATCTAAGCCATGTACCAATGTTACTAGAAGATGATGTGAAATTGTGGGGTCTGGGTTCTCAGAATTACCCCGTTGAGGGAGTTATTAAAGTACAGATTGTGATCCCTCAATTGGACACTGGGAAAGAATGCCCTATGAATGTGGAGGCTTTGGTGTGCCCAAATCTAAATCGTCCCAGAGTTCCCATCATATTGGGGACTAATACTCAGGTGGTGAGAAATGTGTTTTGAGGTTACTTGAAAGAAATGGACAATGCCTGCTTAAACAAATTGAATGAACTAGAGCCAGCTCTGAGGCAAGAATGTCACAGACTAGCCCTTGAACCCGGAACAGGTCAGTTCCATTATTGGGGGCCAATGCCTGTTGATCTTCAACCAGGGGAAATGAAATCCATTACTGCTGATACAGTTTTACGGGAAGGAGTGCTATCAGGAGAGTGTCAGTTTTGCCTAGAGTCTCTTCCTGAAGAGGATTCATTTAAAGGCTGGACTATCATGCCCGAGGTAAAAGACTGGCGAAGTAAGAAAATTTATGTGTTTGCAGTAACCATTCACAATCGATCGCCAGTTGATGTACGCATAGAACATTGTCAGAAGCTGGGAGTGATCTATCTTTTGGAAGAAGTCCTTGCCAGTTGGATTGAATCAAGATTGTTTTAAAGAGTTGAAATTTGATTTAGAAGGTACCAGACTACCTGCAGAATGGAAAGATAGATTACAAAAGGCCCTTAAGGCTAGAGAAGAAGTTTTCTCTAAAGGGGATATTGATGTAGGCTGTGCCAAGAGTGCTCAGCATGCCGTTCGGCTAAATGATTCTACCCATTTAGAGAGAGATCTCGAAAGATAGCCCATATGCATAACCTATAATGATGGTCAGAAAGAAAAATGGGTCAGTACGTCTTTGTGTTGATTACCGTACACTGAACAAGAGAACTATTCCTGATCAATATACCTTGCCAAGAATAGAAGATCTTTTGAATGCCTTGAATGGCAGCCGGTGGTTCAGTGTCTTTGACCTTCACTCTGGATACTATCAAGTCCCTATGAAGGCAGAGGATCAAGAAAAAACAGCTTTTATTTGCCCTTTAGGATCTTTCCAATTTACTTGCATGCTTCAAGGTGTTACCGGAGCTCCTGCAACCTTCCAGCGATTAATGGAGAAGAATCTGGATGATAGCCCGAAGCCTCCATGACCTCCTGAAAGGGGACTCTCGGAAGGTTCAGACCACTCTAAGGAACCTATAGGAGAGAAATGGACTCCGAATTGTGAAGAAGCTTTCCAACTGCTCAAGAGAAAGATGACTGAAGCACCTGTGTTAGCTTTTGCTGATCCCAATATGCCATATATTCTCCATCTAGATGCAAGTTTGGAAGGACTAGGAGGGGTTCTCCATCAGGCATACCCTGAAGGCCTGAGGCCAGTAGCATATATTAGTCGGAGTCTTACTGGAAGTGTAAAGAACTACCCAGTGCACAAGTTGGAGTTTCTTGCTCTGAAGTGGGCCATTGTGGACAAGTTGCATGATTATTTGTATGGTGCTAAGTTTGAAGTGAGGACAGACAATAACCCTCTTACCTACAGCTTAACCACAGCTAAGTTGGATGCCACAGTACACCGGTGGCTAGCAGCACTAACCAATTATGACTTCTCTTTAAAATACAAGCCAGGTCCTAAAAATGTGGGGGCAGATGCTCTATCTAGGAGGCCTGGATTGCCTATTACCAATGAAGATGGGGAGTGGGTTGAGATTCCAGGCCCAGGAGTCAGAGCCCTATGTCAGACTTCTATTGAGGAAGATGGATGGGTCAATTTTTAAGATGTATTGATTCTCTTAGTTGTTCCCCCAAGGCAATTCCTGAAGGCATGTGTCTTCCAATTACTATCCCTGAATGGTCTGTTATCAGCTTAGATGAGAAAAAAAACAAGATCAAGCTCAAGACCCAGTAAATGGCCATCTCATCAAAACTGTGGAGAAACAGGATTTCCAGTATATGAAGGATTTACCTGTTGA